GCGGTAATGGCAATAGAAATTTAATTGCATACTTAATGGCATCATTTGTTGAGAAAGTCATCATCATCATTGCTCATCATTTGAATTATAATATTTGCATAATATTTTAAATTACATCATTTTACTCAAATATTGTTTTATTAATATCGAGCCTTTGCTTATTGTTTATTGTGGAAAAAAATCTGAAAATGGAAAAAAAAAATCGTACTTGGTTAATAGAATAAATGGAAAAATTAGATTTGAAGTATTATAAAGATTTTTAAGGAATATTTAACAAATCCTTAAAAACTCATTTTAAATGTTTGAAATTAATATATTTAATAAATGTATAAATCATAAGGATTAATAGTAAAGTCTTATTAAATAATGATTAATACATTAAATAGATAAATAAATACATGAAGTACTTATCATATTATCACATTCAAGAACTTATATAAATTTCGTTGACTGACATATCATATAAATTTTTTAACATGACTGACATATAAATTTTTTTAACATCTCAATACTATACAAACCTTAAGTCCACCTCAGGACGCACAGAAAGATACGCTGATTTACGCTCCGTCATCAGTTAGAAAATAATTAAATAATAATGTTTCTAGTATAGCTAAAATTTAGTGTGGAGCAGGGATAAGCCCCACAATAGATTAAAAGTGCGCAATAGCACTAACTCAAATCACAACAACAACAACAACTATACTCGAATATTATAACTTAACACTATAATTTCGATTGTCAAAACTACTATAAATAAAAGGATATTGGAAATTTTGAACATCTATTTCGTATAGGTTCTAATGATAGAAAAATTAAATAAATTAAAATAAGATTATTAAGATCGGTTTATCGCTTCTGTGGGTGTCAGAATATATTTCATCACAAATTGTTGAGGGAAAGGCATATTTTACAACTTCTAAAACAACTTGAATGAATTGGTTTTCAGAAAATTAGATCACGTCCAGGGAACTTATTAATAGAGATCGAGTGCATGCTGAATGGTTAATTACAGTTCTTTCCGGTTACTGGTCTATATAATATAACGCAAAATAACTGCACCATCACTTCAATATGTATTGTGGAAGGTGAAGATTTTTGGATGACGAAAACGTAATCATGTATTTTTTTATAACTGCCTGTGTAAGAGTAAATGATTTTAGTAGGGAATAAAGTGATATATATCGTTTACCTACAGGGGTTTCTTGTGATGTCAAAACATCAAATATTCGGTAATTATGTGAACGAAGGGTATGCTGAGGCATGCTGATAAGCCAATACAAGCTTATAAACCAACCGCCAATAAAACCACACAATCAGTGAGAAGTGCTTATAAAATTAATTCATTATCGATATATTAAGTTTATTATAGCAATCACTTACGCTGAATCAGGTAGCAATTATCGTATTATAAGAGATTTGTATATATAAGTGTAGTAAACAAAATTTAACAAATTGTAAGTGTAATATTAAAGCGCTAATAACTGCGAACGATTATGGTCAGTTCGCCATTATTGAAATTTAATTACTGATTTTTTTAAGAATTATAAATCTTGTTTTCTACATAGATATCGTACTGAAAGAAAATATTTAAGAGCCTACCATAATAACATTTTCTACTCTAGTCTTATAAAAAACTTCAACAATTCCACAAAAGATGTGAACATGACTGTCTGCATAACATGACATAAATCGTAACTTTTAAATATTTTAACTATATTTATTGTTTAATAATTATATGGTTTATATAAAGCTTGAATTTACGTGAGTCTTTTGATAATAGCAAGCTATTTTTCCTTTCCGGAATAGTTTCGTTTCAAAAATTTCATTAATAAAACAAAAAACGAATTCAGTCGAACTTCCATAACTCGAAGTACCACAAAAAAGAAAAGCAAAGGAAAGGTTCGACTTATGGAGACTTCGAGACTTATTTTTTTTTTTTTTAAACAAAAACACATTTTAAGATATTTATTTATTTGCAATTAATACAGCACAGAAATTATAGTGAAATGAAACATTCAGAAATTAGATTCCAATTTATTCCAAACCTTATAGTGATCATCAGTTGTAGTATCATTTGTTTGCAAATAAAAATTCAGAATTTTGAATAAGTCTTCTACTTCATTCTTTGAAGACTGATGAACAATTTCATCCACCAAACCCTCATCATCACTTTCCGTTGCACTTCGAATCGAACCCACTAATTCAGAGCTGTGTAATGCTCAATAATATCATCATCTGTAGAAAAGCTTGATGTGCAAATTTTATTATCGAGCTGAATATAATCATTAAGAGTAGCATTGGAACTTATTTACTTTAAACCAAGCTTTATAATTTTGTTCAATTCCCGGTTTTCATCAATGTTATTCAAGAAAACTAAAAGAATGTCGTCCTGTTCGATCCATGTAGAAAATTGGAAAAATTGAAATGCCAGTAACTGGCATTTGCACAAAGAAGTAAGAAAGAAAAAAATTAAACATTTGGTTTGGAAAACGGGACTTCCATTATTAATGTTAATGGATTCATACTTAAAACAAAAATCGGACTTAATGAATGTTCTCGTAAAAAAAAATTATATGTAACGTGTAATATGTAATGGTAAATAAAATACAAACTATGACAAAAGTATCTTGAAAAAAACGAAAAACAAAATATATTTATATAAAAATATGTTTCTTTTATATAGCAAAGATATATTCCTCAATATTAGCCATAATTTTTTCGTTCAGACTTGGAACAAGAAAACATTAAGTCTGGTTGAAACAAATTGGCATCACTTTTAAAATATCATAAATGATTTTTTCTGATATATGTATGGTTTTCGTTGTATACAATATGAAATATAAAAATTGTAAACACTAAAAGTTAATTAATTTAAATAAAAGAAAACAGAATGAATATTAGAATGGCAGTGGTAAACATTTTGATCTTATACTCGTATGTTTAAATTAATTAATTTATTTATATATTATTTTAAGGGATGATTAGAATTTGGTAACATATTTCTATTGAACATACACAATAAACTGATTTTTGAATTTGGCTGCACTAAAACTTAAGACTTAAAATATTTTGCGAGTAAAACCTAACTCTGAAGATTTTAAGAGCATTATTGTTGCTTCACATAATTTCTTTAGTAACTTACGAAGTATTTTTTTGCTACTCTGAAAGAAAAAATTACGGCTATTAATATTTATATAATATTCAGTATAGTATCTCTCATTGTATACCAATCTGTCAAAATGTATAAAACAAATTAATTTTTATTTTTATTAAAAAAACTAAATTTTAGATATGTGATCATATTTGATCAAAAAATATTAAGAAACATGTAAACATTTTCATTTAAGGCAAGCTATTTGTTGAAAATTCTTGGAAAAGAAAAGTCATATACACCTTTGATTGAAATTTAAACCTGAAGCGAGTATTTCCCTTTGTACTGAGTTCAATAAAAACCTCAGAGAATTAAGTTTGTACAGTGGAAATGTTAACCAAATGCTATTGAATTGATAGCAATTTTCGACCGTTTTGACCACTGATGAAAACAACTCTTTGAAAAGTTTGCGCAAAACTCAATTGATGGTCCTTAACTTGAAACTATAAAATTCTATTAACTCGGAAACTGGCAACAATAAAAGCATTTTGATCAATCAATTTCGTTGGCTCACACTTTTAGGATCAAAAAGCAAGGCGTGGTTTCATATTTATTTGTGTAAAAGTCGGCAGAGCTATTTAAAGTACCAAAAATTTAGTTAGATGGAACAAAAAAAAAATTTTAATAAAAAAATTATTATTAATATTATTATTTCACTACAAAATCACTACAAACTTCTTTAGATTGGAAATACATGCATGGTCAGCATGTAATAATAAATAATTTCGTAACAAAATATTTTTCTTTAAATTAAGTTAATTTCTTAATCGGACAAAAATTGGCTAGATATGACCTCATCACCTCCGAT